CCAAAAAACCAAGTGTATACCTTATAATTAACTGTAGGGAAAAAAAGCAAATAGAAGGAAGGATGGAAGAAAAAAAAAAGAAATTTAATCTATAAAGCAATAGAGAAAGCAAAAGCAATAGACAGCATAAAAACATTTCAAACAAATACGAGAAATGATATCAAATATATCAATTATGACACAAAATATTAATATGGAGAACTATTTTTAAAAGCCAACAAAATATTGAGTTTGGAATAAGTCATTTCTGATGTATGTTGCTAATAGAAACACGGCCAACACGAAAGGACAAAGTCAGATTAGAATGAAAAGGATATCTTTCAATATCATACAATCAAAATAAAAACAAAGCTAGAGTCGCAACTACAATATTAGACATAGACGAATTAGAATTAAAAACTTAAACAGAACAAAAAGAATCATAATATAATAGGTAAAATCTGCCATGTAGTTAAAATAATAACAATAATACCAACAACTAAATTTTATGCTCCGAATAATATAGTACCTAAGTTTATAAAGGAAAAACAATGGGAGACATTAAGCTAAACTGACATAAAGAAGTAAATGATTTAAAGAATTTAAGGAAATGGTGATAACAATCTGCCATTTATTGAATGCTTATTATGTGCCAGGCATTGTGCTAAGTTCTTTAATATGTAGCTCATTAGATCTTAACAACTCCTTAGGGTTGGTTTATGACTCTTCTCACACATTGAGAAACCACAACCAAGACTTGCATAACTTGCTCAACTTCACACAACTGGTAGTGCCAAAAATGAACTTCCAAGCTACATCTGTTTCTTAAAGGAACTGCAAAGAAAGTTCTAGAAAATGGCCAAATATAAACTAAATATACAAAAATGAATCATTTTCTTCTATAGCTACAATAACAGAACAGAAAAGAAAAATGCTTCTCAAAGTACAACAAAAACATAAAGTTCTCCCCAGAGAGAACCGTAATAAAAAAAATACTCAGGAAAAATACTCAGAATACCACAGATCTCCACTGAAAATCATAAAAGAATACATAAATAGACCTTTTGTGTCTCAGGTACAGAAAACTGAATTTTGTAAGAATGTCAATTCCTCTCTACTTCATGGGTTTAGTGTTATCACAATTAAAATCTCTGCTTTTTCTTTAACTTGACAAAGTGATTTTGGACTTCAGTTTAAAAAGAAATATAAGACTTTGTTTAGACTTATGTCACGTGTCTGCTGAGAACAGATATATCTATCTTGCCGAGCATCCCTAGCCCAGAGGAAGAACTCCATAAATATTTATTGAATGAAAAATAGCTAAGAAAATTTTGAAAAAATATTCTAATTAATGTCTCTAACTAAATAAGCTAATGTTTCTAACATTCTAACTAACAAGTGAAAACTTCTCAATGAAGGTTAATATCTCTGATATAGACAAAGGAATACAAAAAGTCTTTGATGGTTCCAAGGAAACAATTAGAAATAAAAATAACTTGTTTATGGGTATATTCATTCAAGGGTTATTAATAACAGTAAAAAATTTGTCCCTACCTAATGATAATAAATCAGTAAAATTAATTATATCATGTCCATATAAAGAATAATATACAGGCTTTTAATGCATTATTGAATATTTAATGGCTTTCATTCAGTTTATACTTTGTACAAATGCTCATAACATAATGGTAAAAGAAAAAGCAAAATGCAAGAGTATAAACAAATCAAGGCTTGATTTTTTTTTCAAAAAAAAGAGAGAGATTTGAGAAGCACTGAAAAAAACACACGAAAGAAATATATCAAAACATCAACAGTAGTTATATCTGGGTTGTGGAATTATTCATTACATTTTATTTTCTTATTTACATATTTCTAAAATTTTCATATTTTCTATACTGAGTTTACTTAACTCTTAGGTTGAGAAACAGTGATCCTCTAAAGACTAGTTTATTCAAGGTAATAGAGCCAGATTACTAAAAGTGAAAATAAATCTGGCCTTCCTTTCTATTTTGGTGTCTCCAAATTTCAGGGAACGTCAATTTCCATATGCTGTAAGATCCCAGGAAAAACCTGATTTTTCAATCTGTACAGCCAAAATAGGAACTTTCCCTGAAAGGACTATTTTCTACAGCCTCTCTTACAAGCTCCACCTGAGACAGAAAACACCAAATTGAAAATATTTGTGTTTTTACAAAATATGACCAACTTAAGATAATTTCTTCAAAACACTCTTTTTCTCTCAATGCTTGTGCAGCAGATAAGAGAAAGAAAGGACTCATTGAGATAGAACGGAGGAAAAATGCCCATGAAGCACATAGAGACATCAAAAAATAATAATCAGAACAAACAACTTCTCAACAACAGGGTTATCAAAATCATGAAAACACTAATTAACAATACAATGCTTGTGAAAGATAATATATTTTTAATGCCTTGATGTTCCCTAATATTAAAAAAAAAAAAAAGGATATCCAAGAATTACAGCAAAGCCTTCTCATGTGTGTTTCTCAACTGGAACATCATATCTTGACATTAAGAATTAAACTAAAGATCATTTCATCCATTAAGTTGAATCACCTTTGGAAAATATGAGTGTTTGAGAAGAGAAACTAAGTTCCTACCTGTTTCTGGAGTTTTTAGCAAGAGAGCAAATAATTTGGATTATATATTCTAAATCTTTAGAAGAAAAGAGAAACATGCACAAATAGTCCCAATAAATGATTGGTAACCTTTTAATAAAACTTTGTCCATCTATGTAGAACTATATCCTCATTCCAACACTTGTAGACAAGTCTCGATGCCGATGAGTTCATTTGAGGAATATATAACTTAACGAGTTGTCAGGTTTAAAATAGGAACGTGCATCTTACTCATGAGTCTTTCGTTTTTAATGGATAAGAGATGTAGTGGCTTTTGAAGCTTCCGGATAAGGAAGCCTGGACCAATGCTTTTAGGGACTGACTCTCATTATGCACTCACAGGCACAGAATTACCCTGGCAACCACCCCAATGGGATGGTCTACGATGGGAAATCTAATTTTCACTCAGCAGAGCTCTGTAGATGTGGAAACCCTTAAATAACTTAGAGTCAATATTAACAACAATATCTTTTAAAAATAACATACTAAGTTATATGGTGCACTTAGAGTTTGCCATTACATGACTTGCTGTCATTCTCACAATAGCTCTGCGACATCAGCAGGAAAGGCACGATTTCTATTTTGCATTTGAGGTCATGAGAGCTCTGAGTAATCAGCAGTTGACAAGATCACAGGGCTCAGACCACGGGTGGGATGCGAACCTAGGTCTAAGGAAGCCTTTTCTAGTATTCTTTTCACTAAATCATGTGGGTTTTCAAGGAAACAAGTTTCCAAATAAGGCCCCTCCTACTCTCCCTTGGGTAGCTTTAATAAACTCAGTGTAAAACAAACAACAAATTGGCTGTTCCCAAGCAGATGGTGCTGCTCAGCTGCGGTTAAGCAAGGAGGCCTGCAACATGCCAAACTTTCACAAACATTACTTACTTACTATTTTATCATGCTGGTAAAGGCAGACAATTCACATGCGGTGTCCTTCTTATCATAGCATGGGCCACAGTCCTGCTAACTGCCCTGCTGGAGCAGACCAGCTCATGTGTGGAAAGGAGGGTGTGGGGATGTGGCTAGAGACACCGCACTGCCAACAAGTCTAGCCTCAAAGGAAAACTCCCAAATCCAGACAGAATGGAAAAAGGCAGTGGGAACCAAACCCATTGGTCTGTGGCAAATAGGTTATAGCTGTGCCACATGAGAATAATGGCTACAAAATCTTGTAAAAATTCAAAATTTTTATTTGGAACTTTTATGAAAATTCAATATTTAATATTTTCCCAAATGCTTGGTTTTCTTTTTCTTACTAGAATTAAACAAAAAGTAAAATATAATTACCTTTTTTTAACCAAAGTCCATATCCCTTCTTGATACCTTTCAAGTTTTACTATATTTTCTATGTCCTGAGGTGAAACTCTTTGTAAAATATTGGCCTAGAGGCTGCCCGTCAGTCCTTATGATGGTGAAATAATTCAGTAGAGGAACCAGGGGGATTTGTGACATTCATTCATTTATTAAATGATTAGATACAAATTTATTGAGCATCTACTATGTGCCAGGCATCATTCTAGGTGCTAAGATACAGCAAAGAACCAAAGTCTCATGGAGCTTACATTCTGAGTAAAGAAAATAGGGCAGTGAAAACATACACAAGTAATGCAGGGTCCCCAGAATGAAAACACAGCAGGGTCAAAAGTGAGAGAGTGACTGCCAGGGATGCCATCTGAGCCGGGCTCAATGGGCAAAGTCTTCCTGAGCAAGACTGGCAGGAAGTGAGTGTGTTCGAGCAGCTGGAGCAGAAAGCACAAAGTCCCTGAGGGGGAATTTTCTTGGTGGTTCAAAGAACAGCTAGGAGGTCAGCATAGGTGGATCTGAGAGAACAAGGGAGAATGTGTGGGGGACAAAATCAGATAATAAAAGATCCAAGCAGACAATCTGCATCAGCAAAACTTGTAATCTCACCGTAAGAAGCAGGCTAAGCTGGACACTTCCGGTATAGCCCCAGAGGTCACAGGAACAGGTGAGCATCTCCGCAGCCCGCCTTAGACAGGCCTTTGTCTCTCCTTCCAACTGTGCCAGCATCTCCCAATAAGCCTCTCTGAGTCCATTCATCGCCCACACAACCACAGCAACCTGTGTGACTGCCACAAGTCCAGTGGCTCCCCAAAGATCTGCACCGGAGAATGAAATCCCCACACCTGCAGGCTCATCACAATACGAAGCCATCCCACGCTCTGAGCCTGCTCTGCTCCATTCTTACGTATGCTAAACTCTAAAGACACTAGTTTATTTGCAATGTCCAACCAGGCTACTCCTTCTCAAGTCTTCAGACACACAGCCCTCTCTGCTGTGAAACCCTCTCCTCACCTCCGAGACCCGCTCATTATTGTCTGCTGAATTCTACTCATTCTTCAGGGCTGACATACAGACAACCCGCTGGGAAGCCTCCGCCAACCATTTCTGAAAAATTAGTCCCTCTTACCATAGCACTTACCTACTCCCCCGCTTCTATTCTATTCTCTTCACCCAGCCTTTCTAGATAGCCAAGTATGTGCCAGTGTCCTGGACTAAGGTACAAAGACAAACAAAATACAGTTGTATTCTGGAAGGATTTGTACTCTAGTCAGAAAAAGATGAAAATAATTTTATATTACATTATTACTATATCAAATGCTGTAACATGAAGTGCTCTGGGAAGATGAACTTTCTTTTTCTTTTCTGCTAGGTTGGAGCAGGTCGTCAGGAAAAGCAGCAGAGGAGGAACACCATTTCAGTAGGATCCTGAACGATGACTAGAGACTCACTCGGTGAATGAGAAAGGGCAGGACACGCCCAGGACACGCCCGGGAGGAAGCAGCAAGAGGACAGGCTTGGAGATGGCAAGTGCCTGGCATCTTTGGGGAGGAGTGAGCAGTTCAGGATAGCTGAGCTCTGGTGGAGGGCAGCTCCAGAGGAGACAGAAAAGGCAGGTGACGGCAGGTTCTGAAGGGCCAAGAGTTACTTAATAGGCAACAGTAGTCAGAGGTTTGCAACCAGGAAGTGACACCATCAGATGAGGGTTTTAGAAAAAAATAGCTCTGGGAGCAACCAGCAGGATGAGATGAAGGAAGAGGAGAGCTATTGCAGCATTTGCCCAAATTATACAGAAATTAAGCTTTTAATTTTTTTTTTGTATTCTGTTTTGTTTGATTTCTTGATTTGGTAGAATTCTCAAGAGCCATGATAGTGTTTCTGTGTACATAATAGTCACTCAACGTTTGTTAAATGAAGCGAGTGAATGAATGAATACATATATCTCATGGGGAAATTTTTTAATTTGAGAAAAATCTAATCCAGGAGTCAAGTTTCCTAAAACTGTGATGTCAGGATTATGTTGAAAGAATTTATCTTGCCTCATTGTGGAATCAGGTGTTCCACATAACTAGTTTTCCAAATAGCTTAAGTGTTCATGTCCTGACACCAAAAAATCCATCTTTTAATTTCAAGGTAATTCTTTGAAGACACGTTGCTTTTTTACTTCCTTAAGTTGAAGCCATAGAACTTAATTTTTTCTTGGAAGACACAAGCTCATGGATACCCACTGCAGCACAAGGAGGTGGCATGGTAAAACAGAATGACATCATGACGTAGGAGTCAGACAGACCATGGGAAAATTCTGGAACTGCCACTTACTAGCTGTGATGGTTTTGTCAATTTACATCTCAGCTTGAATTTGCTCATCTATAGAATGGGAATATTGATGCCTAAATCATGGAATGAAGTTAGATGATTATGGAAAAGCACCTGACACATAGTAGGTGCTCCAGAGACTATATTTACCAAGAGAAATGCAGTTATGAATTTTTCAGGTTTATATTTTCCCAAAATATCAGACTACCAGCTATCATTTCTGATGTCATTTGTCTGCATCTAACAAATCCTCCTTTTCTCAATTCTCCTTCTAATAAGCTAATTCTAATTTTCTTTAATTATTACCCGATAATATATGCCCCTTAATAAGCATAGATAAAGCAACAAGTGTCTGAATGAAGGAAGGCCTAGGAAGATCACCGTTTGGGTGAAAAGGTTATGTGAAAGCCAACAGGAGTGCTCAGAAGCCCAGCTTGTTTACTTCCCAATCCCAAATTGTGTCCTAAATGTTAACAACACCAAGACTGTCTTCCTCCAAATACCTAAGATGTGATTACGTAGAAAGTAGAAAAGACACAAAGCTAGACTATTTGGAGTAAATATCTGTTGATAAAGGTATAAAGCATTGAGGCCAAAAACAAATTCACTAACAATTTAAAATGAAAACTAAAATTTGAGGGAAAGAAAAATGATATGAGAAACTAGAAGGAAGAACAAATCCCCGTAGACTATGATAAAATACTTCAGTCACTGCATAGGTAAAGGAAAAATCAAGTTTATTGGAAGTAATTTAGTGACTACTTATGGAATTACAATAAAGGTCACAAAAATCCCAGAATTTGTAAGGCAAATGTAAATATAAATATAAATCAATTACTGGCTTATTATTTCATTAAATTGAAGATGGAAAGGACCAATTCTTGAGTCACAGTGTTTGCCTCCTGGGGTCCTAAATAGCTTTCTCTGTCAAATTAAAATAAAAAAGATAAATAAACATGAGAAATTAAGAATGTCGAAGTGTATGAAGGGAAAAGGAAAGAAGGGGGAAAATAATGTTTCACAATTATTATCCAGGCTAAGAGAAACAAAATTACTTGATCATAAATTCAAGATAATCTGGTTTTCTTTATGAGTTCCCATTTTATTAATGAAAGGAAGGTAACACCTTATTGTACCCGGGTGAATTAAAATGCCTATTTGAAGAAGCAATCCTCCATAGGGGTCTTTAATAGAATCTGTGAATGGTTCTAGAGCCAGATAATTTAGCTGTAAAAAGGCAATATTAATATTAACCTCTCCATGTGCACAGACCTACCTTGAGGGGCATAGGGACAGTGAAATGTTAACAGAATGAACCAGACACATCATTTCTTTTCTTAAAAAATCTGAACTATTTCAGGGGCAAAAATTGGATAAACCTCTTCTACAAAATTGCTTGCAACGTGCACTGTTAATTCTTTATGCCTCTTGCTTCTAACAACACTGGCCAGCAATTCAGCACTCTCAGTGCTGCTCATATTATTTTCTGACTTTGTATTCAGAGCATATGACTTGCAAGAAGTCTAATAGCCAAGCATTTAATTGAAATAAACGGAATAGAAAACGAACTTCCAAATGCAGAACAGTCTCAACAGGAGCCATGACAACACATTTCCAAATTAGAGGCAGGCGCTCAGTAGGGTCCCTGAAGTCTATGACTTAATACAATAAAAACAGGTAATTCGAAGAAAGAGGCAAATGTACTTTAATTGAGCAACTGGTCAGTTGGTGAGAAATATAGACATAACAAATGGCTCATCTCTTTGTCCCAGACATGCAGTTAGTTTTTAATGGAAATCCCAATATATTGCACTCTCGCTCTTTATAACTCCCATCACCAATACCATATCTGCCCTCATCACCACCTTCCAGACTACTGCAAACCTCCTAGCATCGCTGTACCCAAACTCTTTCAATGCATCCTAGGTAGCCCAGTAGGATTTTTCTTCCTGGTGCCCCACGTTGTCTGTGGCACACCCCCAGTCAAACACCTTCAACTGCCCACCATTAGTTACTGAACTCCTAGTTGAACTTCTGTTAGCTGCCATAAATGACCTTTCACCATAAGGACTCAATCTACATTTCCAGCCTTCTAACTCATTAATCCTGAAAGATGGATTTCTCTAAATTCTATGATTTGCTATTACCCAATGTCTCCATGCCCTTCATACTCCAGTTACATTTTCCCAACATCTAGATTTTCTCTTTTATCCCCATCTCCACATATTAAAATCCTATTAGTTCTTCAAGTCCTAATTCAAATGCCACACTTCCATGATGCTTCCCCCTAATTATTCCACAAAGAAGTAGGCTTTCCTAACCCTCATAGGTTTTTTCGATACTTATCAACTTTCACTTCATACTACAATTACTTATAAATATATATTATTTCCTTCCCTCCCACTCCACTAAGACAAGGTCTTAGAAGAAGCGGTTTAGCTTAGTTGGTAAAGAACAGGCTTTTCAATCCAACAAAGCAAAGTGTGATACCAAGCTCCTTTACCATCTAGCTATACAAACTTAAGCAAGAAATCAGCTTTCTTAAACTGTTTGCTCAACTGGAAAATGCTTGATAATTATGCCTGCCTTAATTCATGCTATAAGGATGAATAACATTGTATGTAGTGATAGCACAATGCCAGGCATATACTAATTTCTCAATAAATGATAGCTATCATTACTATGAAAGTGGACAGTACTTATTATCAATCTTTGTGTTTGACAGAGCACATAATAATTAGCATACCTTGCATATACTAGGTATTCAACAAATGTGTATTGAATGAAAGAATTAATGAATGAGAATGCGGGGGAGGAAGGAATTTTTCTCTACCTTTTCTAGGTTCTTCTGGCTGATCTAAGAACTAAATTGACATGAGACAGATTAATAGGAGAAAATCAAATTTAATTGCATAGGTAGAGGAACCCCACATTCATGAGAGGGTCAGAGACCCCATATACGTGAGAGGTTCATAGACAGAAAGGTAAAATGAAGTATATATGCCATCTTGAGCTAAGGAATGGGATAGGGGCCTGAGGCTTCAGACGGGAGGAGAGTAATTCATGTGACGATAAGAAGAGCAGATGCTCACTAATTAGAGGTTTGCCCTGCCATACAGATAGGTCATAAAAAGTTATTTCTTATAATAACTCTTATTATGGGCAAGACTCCCAATTTATATTCTTTAAGAGAGAGGTAAAAGTTTTTCTGGAACCTGCAGGGTCTTGATTGCCTTTAGCTCAAAATATTCCACATGCCAAAGTGGCACATCTTGGGGAGGACTGTTCTGAGCCCCTTCAAGTGAAAGACTCAAAGATTGTTTCTGATCCCACTGAATGCTCTCAAAAGTTAGCAGATGGTGAGAAGCCTGACTAGAGGTGCAATGTGGTCACCACATTCCTTTCCTTTGAAAACACCATTACTACGACCATCGTTAACCTTGGGGAACTAGAAGAGAAATGAGAAACTACAAAATCCAATCCAATGGAGTAAAGTTGAGGTCCTGAATAATCCAGAAGAACAATCCATCCCAAAACATTTAAATTTGATGTTGCAATGTGGTTTTGATATTTGTATTTAATTTGGGAATAATTTATTATTTTAGAATTCACAAGCCATCTAATTTAATTGTTACAAATGACTCTCTGCTTACAACTATTTCCTCTTCCTTTCTCCCCAAGAGAAATAGCATTCTCCCCCTATAAATGGAAGCAAGCCACCTGCTTATTAGGAGTTATTTTTGGCTGTGGATATTATACTTGGATGTATATATTTTACAACTTCTCAATATTGAAGGGAAGGTAATTGTAGCAGATTGCATTTTCCAGAAGTGACCACAGCAATTTGAAGTCTTACATTCTCTTTCAGAATCTTCTCACTCCCCATGAAAAGGTGGAGTCTATTTCCCCTTCCCTTGAACTTGTTAGGCTTATCACTGCTCACATGAATAGAGTGGATGGACGTGATGGTACATGAGTGCCCAACTCAAAACGATACAGCTTAGCTTCTGCCCAGGTCTCTCTCAACATGTTATGAGCAAGCCCAGAGCACATGGAGAGGTCACATGGAGGTCTTCTGGTCAATAGCCACAGATGAGTTTCAGCCTACAGTGAGCATCAACTGCCAGAAATCTAAGTGAGCAAACTTCCAATGATTCTCAGCTCCCAGCTTTCAAGTCTTCCAGCTACGGCCGCAGACATTGTGGATGGAGACAAGCTGTCCCCACCATGACCAGATTGAATTTCTGACCCACGGAATCAATAAGCCTAATAAATAATTGTTTTATGCCAGTGAATTTGGGATGATTTGTTATGCAGCCATAGTAACCGGAATGATAATTAGGTATCTTGTTGTTTTTTAAGTGTCCAGCTGGATTGTAGGTTTCATGAGTAGGGGAAAAATGAAAAGAAACAACAGATGACTTTGCACAAGTTATTTTAAACCCTTAGCATGATTGATTCGCATATCAAAAATGTGGCAGGTCCATCCTGGGATAATTAAAAGTTAGAATTTTTAATAGTAACAACTGGAGACAGGAATGAGGTTTTGCTCTACTATTTACCAGGAAGCGAGAAAGAGACAAATGGACAACAGTAACCAATCCAGTTAACTAGCAACATGCAGAGTTAATCCACTATCTGGAATAATTTAGCAACTGTCTGAAAAAGTCTGTTTTTGCCTATCTGAGAGTTTTGAAATAAAGCTACATAACTATTAGGGCTTTTCCCACTTTTCTTGTTTCATTGTCTAGCATGAAGCCTCATTTTATTATTGCACATGAGAAATCTTGACTCTTAGCTAAAATCTGAGAATAATAGTGGTACATGCCCATTATAAAAACTGCATACACATCTGGAAGGAACATTAATGTCTTGTCTTTTCCTAGTTTCTATTTTTTGGTCCATAAAATATTATACCCATTACATGGATCAGACAAGTGACGGCCAGGGGAATTCAGTATCTTACCAGTTTATACAGCTACTAGGAGCAGAAAACCAAAATTCAAGCCCACTTTCTTTTATTCCAAGTTCTTTCTCTAATGATCCTACCTCTCAATAGAAGAATGAATGATAGTTATACTATATAAACAAGAATTTCAACTTTCTTACTTTCTAATAAAAAACCAAATAAAATTGGTCAATATGAACCATTTCCTCTTTTCAAGGTATATGGACTGTTACTTCCATCCCACAAATTTGCAGCCAGGAAGGCAAAGGGAGGCTGCTGTGGCTTTACAAAAAGGCTGAGAGACGTTAACCCTCCCAGCTTCCCATTCCCAGAGGAAAACCGAGGGAGGAGGTACCATCTCTATACAGTTTGTAGGATTGTTTTTTTTTTTTTTGGTTTTGCTTTTTGCTTTTTTCCATCTCTCTACCTGTATCAGTCTTGTCGGTCTACCTTGTTGCCTTGATTAGTTAAACCAGAATCTTCTATTTAGGCTCTGATATATCTAATACTTCATCTGGTTTCTTGCATTCAAAAAAGAAAGAAGAGAAGAGAAAAGAAAGTCATCTGTAGCGTCTTGTTTTCCCAAGTCTTCATGAAATTCATTAAGCCCCACTGACGCTTTCATTTACTTTTAGACAATATTTCTCCTTGCCTGGGAAGGGAAATACTTGCTGGCTTACTACAGGTTGAATATATACATAAAACCTGTAAATCACAAAGGGTCTAAATGCTTTCTACAGTTTTTCAACGCTCTAGACTTGAATAGAAAGAAAGCTTTAATGGAAAGAGGAAAAAGAAACCACCATTTCAAGTAAATTAAAAGCAACCTCCAGGCAAAGGACTATACCTGGAAAATAACTTTCCTTCTAGTATGAAATTTAGAATAGAGGAACAGAAGGAGCCCATTTCTAAAAGCAGCAGCTTCCAATCCATTCATTTACCACTCACTAAAATTCAAAAGTCAGTTCATTGTCGAATCTAGTCATTACGCCATAATATCGGGCTCTAACAAATTGAGATTTCTTTTATATATTTGTTCTCTATGCTGGATAAAAATAGCAGTAGGTGAAAAAGCCATTCAGAAACTTAGAAGTAGACAGAATTGCTCAGGAACATAAGCTTAGATTCTGATGATGCAAATGTATTTCAAGAAACTTCATTTCCGCGCAAGACCTATTTAACAATTCCTTAACAATTGAGCAATTACTGAAGTCCCGATACTCTTTGGATGCTCACCAAGTGAGTGAAAGTTGATTAAGCTGAAATTTGTGGCAGGTCTCCTGGTATGAAGAGAAGAGGGCCTGATGCCCTTGTTAATTAGACAATCCTCTGTGGAATGGAACAATATGGTGCCAAAGCTGTGCACTAAGTTCATGACTCTATCATTAACCCGCTGCACGCTCCTCGGCCCTACATAATACACAGGGAGGCTGAACCAGAGCTCTCTGCTCCTGAATCCCCCTCACCTTGCCGTCCAGCCTGAAGGTCCATTTCAAAACCTCAAAAGCCCACAAGGCTCTTTTGGGGCCGTGGGTGGGGTCTTGGGCAGGGTTGGAGCTAACCACTAACCATACAGCTGTGGTCTCTAAATGGCTCACCCTGCAACAGCCTCACGCAGATTTTGGCAGGAACATATTCACAATTCCCCACTGTGTGTGCAAAGCACACTGAAGCAGTAGGAGACATTCTTCCTGCTTCTTTAGACAAGGTCAAAGTAGCTTGAAAATGCTCAGATGGGAGTTTGGAATGTGTCGTGAAAACCTTTTCTTACTAGTCAGATAACCTGTCAGTGACAATAACAACACACACATTGTTTGCCAGCTGATTAAGTCACTTCCTGGAAGGCATTGACCAGATTTTCTTTTCCTCTTAACCAAATAAATGAGTGAAGTGGTTTAAACACATTTGACCAGCAAATAATAAGATTGTGCAATACTTTTGGTTAAAGTATTCCACTCTCTAAATTTAGCAGCTTTGCTTTTATTCTCAGAGGAAAGAGACATTTGAGGGGAGGAGGGGAGCCTCCAAGGAGATACTTTAAGAAAAAAAATTCCTGAGTAAATTTTCCCTGAAGTCTTGGGCTAAAAGAATCTTCCTGTGGGAGAAAGGATCCAATGGAGGGGTTCCCCTGATCACAGCTTCCCATTATGATCACAGGGACTCGGGCACAAAGTTCTCCAAGGGAGGCCTCCACTTACTGCTGGGGGGAGAGGGCAACAGAAAGTGTGCAGACTTTTGCTTCTCTAAGGAGGGGAACACATATTGGACTTCTTTGGGTGGCAAGATAGTTTTATTATGAAAATGACCTTTCCATAAAGCTGTTGGAGTGAATTAATATCAACTCAGTCAAAAATAACATGAGATTTACTCAATACTGCTTTGCTAATAACGCTAGCGATAATAGCAGTAGTATCATTCTCAGTATCCAGATGAGGAACTGAGGAAGTAAAAGATCATTGCCTTACGAGAGTTACACAGCTCAGCGGCTGGTATAGAAACCTATTACCCTTGGTTCCTGACTCAGTCTTCTCTCATAGATAATTTGGCATATTGTCTATTTCCAGACACTTCTCTGTCTTTGTTTTTTAATAACACCTCCAGCAATCAGAAAAGAGACTCACTGTAATGTTAGCAAGGTCATCAAAACTCGGTAGGAGAAAGGGTTGAAGTAAACAGTAAAGCAGTGGTCAGTAGATTCTGTCTGAATCCCGTTTATCTGCATCCCTGATTAGCATATACTATAGAGAATTGTGGGCGGTTGGCTGTACTAGTTCTTCATTGATTTGATCTAATTTGACTAACAAAGATTGCGTGTTCCAAGGGTCTGATAGCTCAATAAAATAGGAATATATCATCCACCTTATCTCATTCTATTTTTGATAAGCAATTCAGGTATTAAAAATAAAAAAGCAGCAAGCCCCCAGCTGGAGATTATGAGTGAACATTATTCATGTGGAAGCCAAGAGAAATACAAAAACAAAAACCACAAAGATTTCATCTCTGTTTGTTCTGCGCATGGACCTAGGTGACAGAGGGCAAGTTGTCCAACCTCTCCTCCATGCTCCATCTTCACCTAACAAATGCTGCCCTGCTCAGGGTGCTACTCAAATGCTACTTCCTCCCCAGAATTACCCCTGATCATCCTGGATAGAAGAGGCCAGTTCCTCACCTTTCAGTTCTGAAGCAGGAATTGTATTACCATTCCTGAATCATTCATTTCTCTGTATCTTACATGGGATTTATGTGTATATGTGTATGTGTTTTGTCACCCAAAGTGGAAAAAAACAGACAACATGGATCGTGGAGTAGGGCACTCCAGACCTTAGGGCTGTACCTTTGCATGTCCTTAAGCAGGTTGCCTAACCTCTCCATGACTCAGTTTCCTCACTTGAATAATGAGGGTATTACTCATCTCCAGTGTGTATAAAGATTCAGCAAGGTATAAATGCACGAAGCGCTAAGCAGGGCACTGACATAGAGGAGACTGTCAGCGAGTATTGGTTTCTCTCCCTTTCTCCTAACAAGATTATAAACTCCCAGACTGGGATCACATCTTACATGTCAGCACAGACTTGAAAGAGGCAGTCATTTCAAATATTTGTGGAATTCATATTTTGAATAATAATGAGAGAAGTATAAAGAGGTAAAAGACTAAAATAACAAGTACAACAGAAAGAAAACTGATATTTGGACATATGACAATCTTGTTTATTTCAGGAAATATGAGGAAATGATTCCTCGTGGCTGCTGGAGAAGAGGGAAATGATAGTTCCATGTGGATGGGGATTATAGTGCAAGCATTTGACATGGAGGCTGACAAGAGAGAGAACGGCAGGAGAATCATGCCTGGAGAAAGAATGGGTGAGGTGGCAATGAATGCTAGTGTTTGAAAGTGAGAAAAAGTTAAAATATTCCATCTCTATTCTGTTTCCTTTGAGGAAGAGACTGTAATTTGTTATAAAAATTTTTAAACAGCATTATGTAAGAAAAAATCATAGGAAAAATTTTTAATGACTTATCACCTTCATGATCACGTGATATCTTCCAAACTAAAAATGCAAATTCGACCCCAAAATTTGGCTAGGGGAGATCTCAAATCACTGAGAATTAAAATATACTAATCATACTATATTTTCCTTAGCAGATTAGTGGTTACTAATTAAGAGTTATTTCGAGCTCAAAGGGAAAACAAATATAAAACTTGAAAGATGCATCCCCGGGTAATCTTTTACAAATTTGGAAAAAGGAAGAAGAGCCAAAGAACCTGGATACTCTTAAGCTCATGAAATGTATCAGTGACAAAGCCAAATAAAAACTATCACCTTCTATCTGGACTCCACCTTAGAAATGTGCTATTGAATCATTTCAGTATTTTACTGAACTCTTCCATTATGACACCCTCCATAGATTAGGCCCCCTCCTCCCCACCTCCCTTGTTTTCTAAAAAAATCACACTGGTAAGCACCCACTCAACTCACTCCTAAGCATCCCGCATGTTAATTTCTCAACAACACAAATTTAATTTGTCTCAGCATTATTCTCCTGTGGTGCGTACCCCTCCATATAAACAAAATGGGGATTCGTTGCCATGACAACAGAGTGTGACTTTGATCAGCTTCAATGATCATTGGCAGTCACATGCCTTTGATAGATACCAAATTGTGAGTAAGGTTTGATTATCCAATTTTTCAATCTCTGATTATACAAGAGGCTACTCCCATTTGCCAGAGGAGTTGGGAAAGAAAAGAGAAACAAAACAAAAAACTGTAAGATAGCTGTACTTTTGAGACAACGGCATAAAGTGCTTGGTGGAATGTAAAATCAATGAGGTAGTGAGTACCTGAGAATGACTTTCCTTCCCCTTCTGTACAATTCCGTGCATGGGCTCTACCCACCCACCAGGAAGGAGAGGCTGTTTCCCTTCCCCTTTCATGGCAGATGCAGGTGATATTTAAGGTTGCGTGTGCAGGTGTTTTGGGGGTTGATTTGTGTGGGAAGAGGAGAGGTGGTAGCCTGTAGCTTGACAGAAGAGGAGGAAAAAAAAATCTGAACAATGTGTTGAAAAAGACTACAGTCTGAGCTGCACAGGACCAGCTGTTTTTGCTAATTAGAATAACAAAAATAGCACATGCTAAAATGTTTTTCTTTTTTTTCTCAAAAGCAATGAATGCTCTAGGAACTATAAGGAATGAGCTTTAAAATCCATTTAAATGGAGGAACATTTCAGGAACCATATGGGGAAGGAACTGAAAGGGAGGAGAGTAGGGAAATAACATTTGATTTTCGGCTGAATTTTTTTGAAAGATGAAAAATCGGGGCTATTTTTCCTTTTTTCTTAACATTTAATAGGAAATGTTTTCATCATATCTTGATTTCACAAAACTGCTGCTGCTTCTGTATTTTACAGGAACGAGGTATGTGAGCATCAAGCCCACTCCAAACCAAGGGAGGGCAGGCGCTGCGAAGAGCTGCATATGCTCTATCATGCATATTGCATGTCTCATCTCCTTTCTCACGTTTTCTCTGAAGCAGTAAAGAGTAATTCAAAAACTTTGAATATAGGAATAACATTTGTGACAACAACAACATTCTGGACATCTGCACTGTTAGAGTACTTATAATAAAGTCACATGGCCATGGGGAAATTTCACAGAATTACAATCTCAGTAATTTGCCAAGGTGTATAACTAGTTTGTTTTCAGCTGTTCTTCTCATGAATAATTATCAAGCAGGAATATCCTAAAGCTAGCACAAGCTGTCACTTAACCAAAATATTCAATATTTAACATCGAATTTAGAATTTCATAAATGAAAATAATACTGTAAAAGCAAAATAATATACAGTGTGTATATTTGCATGCCTAAATGCACACAGCTACATGTTAAAATTCAGATTCCAAAGCATCTTTATCAAAGGAGAGCATGTCTTGAAAGTTGAGGAGGAATAGAAGAGATCTAAGCACAAGGAAATCTCAGCCATTTTCAAGTACAGCTTGGTCTTCAGTCCTTTAAGGACTGCCTCTCAAGGCAAAGTGGGAAATGAAAACCAGCCTCTGCATATTGATGGTAGCTGATTACAATTGTGTTAGAATCTTTATTGGAGTTTTTAAATGTTTGAAAACAAATACTATATAATGGGTAGCATAGTATATAGGTTATGTTTTTAAATTAATACAAGTGCATCACTAAACATTTTAGCATTAATTTCTGGAGTGAATATCACAGTTCAACCTTAAGTACCTTCTAAAAAATTTACTCCTATAGAGAAAGTGACAAGAATGTCATTTCTTGTAATACACATCACCAAGTTATTAAACCCGATTTTGCATACATATTATATATATACATTATATATATATATATAATTTCTAGTACCTCTCTAAAAATTATTTGACTAAAGCAAATGGAGATTTCTTTCTCCATTCCAGAAACCTATAAATGTATCGTGAGTTTATAAAATGGGTACTTTAAGCCATTCGAGCAATTCTAGTGTATATTAAGGATTTTTGTTCTACTGTTTACTTTCCCATTAGTAGAAAACTTCTCAGTAATACAGCTTAAGAATGTTTTTTCACTTGAGTAAAAGATAAATGATATTGGGGAAGAAATTCAAACATGAGAAGCAAATCTATATAACTGAATTGTGGGTAATAGGTAGAAATTCCTTTGGGGGATAAATAATATTTTCACTTGGATAACACCATTTGGTTCTCTGAATAGAATATTGGTTTCCCCAAAACTTTAGGGAAATAATTCTATTTTGTCTGTCTTGTGATTTATTTTAATCACACCTATATGAGATTGATAAAAGAAATGTATTCATTGGAACTAGGACTTATTACAAGTAGAACAAAGGTACAAAATGGCTTCCATCTTAACTTGTAAATTATCAAAAGTTTTCAGATAGTTACATGACTTTTCTTGAGCCTGAAAGTACATAATCCTAGTGAAAAGAGTACTTGGAAATCAAAAATAAGATTAGTGACCCAACTAGGTCTATCAGGGATTCCTCAAGATTTATGCCAATTCCAATTTATGCTTTAGTTTTCCCATCACTAGAAATGTGACTGTTAGGCACAATAAGAAAGATATTAATACTATTGCCAAAACAATGTGCTAAAATAAGTGGATTTATTTGATCACAACCCAAACACATGAGTGATAACCTTAAAGCAGGTAAAAGGTGGAGTTGCAAATGTTGAAAACAGAAATGGTTTATTTTTACATATCAATTACTTTAACCACTGTATCACACATGTTCCTGTACATGATTGGCAGATCAGAAGAACCAGTCTTCAAACTGGTTCAAACTTCTTCCTCGTTCTCTATTTCTCCACTGTACACTTATAAACCTGCCATTTCCTCTCCATCCCTGCTGCTGCTATTCAAATTCATTCTCCCATCTTTACTTGCCTGGCTGATTTTAATTGTTCCAACCTCAGTCTTCCTACCATCCATCTTTCCCCATTCCAATCCACCATCCTCACAAATGGGGGCCCCATAAACCTCTTCAGTTTAATCACCTGCACCCTATCATCACTCCTGATCTCATACTACACTCTCTTATGTCACCATGCTTTACCTTCTGCTTAGGATGCCCTGACCTCTCTACCCAGCCTCTGAATATCTATTTATACCCCGAGATTCACTTCGCTGTATTGTCTTTCCAATTTTCCAAGGAGAAAAGTAGTTTTGACTCTAGTGTACCATAGACGTTTCAACCTAACTCTGTCATAGTCCTAATCATAATACTTTGGAGCAAAAGCCATTTCTATTCTACTAAGTCTTGGGTATATTTTTAAAAATACACATAGTAGGTGTTGAATTTAATTGATCCCTAAGAAAACTGGTCTTGCTGGAAGAAATAAAAGTACTCCCAACAAATGTACTCATGTATAACCATTTAATGTAGATAAGAGAAGACTTCTGGTATATAATGGCATTTGGCCACCATCCCCTGGCACTGCCTCTCCCAATTGTCAATAACATACATACGAAATGGAAAACTCTAACATAGAGAATTAAGACTGACAGGAAACCCAGTGCCAGAAATCTGGGAAAAATTTAGAGTGATTATAAGGCTGATGCTTCAAGAGTGAGAAAACAGTCGGTAGCCTATCCAAGCATCACCTCGTAAAACAGAAAAGTCTACCTCCTTCAAAAAGCATAGAGTTTTTTATTTTTTCTGTTCAAAACGAGTGCTGATTTTCAGGCAGGCAGAATATTATACTCCCTTCCTGTCCACTCATATTTCTTAGCTATTCAGATAGAAAAACTCTCAGAAAATAATAGTTGAGAAAGAGAGACGTGAGAAGATAATTACAGCCCATTGCATCCTGGGAGATATTGTACCCACAAATGAAGTGTGGAAGGAAGAACTGGAAGAGTCCTGCTCTCAATGAATCCTAAAGGTAATAGTTTCAATTAATTCCATTATTCTGGGTGGGTAGTGCGGGTAGTGGAAGATTCCACCTCAGCAGAGCAGGACCACACCCTGTCAATGGCCACTGGTCACTGCAAATCAGGAAGGAAAATGGACACATTAAGCTCTCCAACAGTATGTAGAGAAAGGTGCAAGGAGCAAAAATGAAAAACAATGACCCGGGAAAAAAGTTCTCATTTGAGTAAATGTAAGAGAAATAAAACAACAAGTGACCTGAGGTTAAATGTGGTAAAACAAGCAAAGAAAATATCGTTCAGAAGTTTTAGATATTTCTCACTCTTATAGAAACCATGAAAACATTTTAGAAAATTGTTTGCCCTCTTCAATATACCATAAAAAGAAAGAATAATCTGAGATAAAAGAAGAATAGATTGGGATGAAAAGTCTACTAAAACTTGAATTAAAAGTAAAAATCTCCTGAATAGGAGAGTTGAGATATACAACCTAGAGATGAGTCCTGAAATAATTAAACATAAGTGTTAGCCCTAAATAGCTCTTGCAAATATATTTTCAAATCTGAATGCAGATGTCAAAAATAATTCCTATGAAAGAATAGATCTGAAGTAAAAATAATTTAATAATATCAATCAAGGTCAAACACCCCTTTGGAAATGAACCAGTCAGGAGTGGGGATGGATAAGGAACTATAAAAGCATTCCTTGTGGATAAACAGAAGATATTATTTTTTTCTTGACTTTAATATTCAGAAAAATAGAAGTTGGATATTTTGGAAAATAAGTAGAAAAAGTATCAAGATGTCTCCTTGCCTAGTCACTGGAGAAGACAAACGTCTAGTCCATTAAAACAACAGCAACCAAAACGAAGGTAACAAAAAAATAGAGAAATGCAAAAATTGAAGGAAATGAAAGAGAACATAAAAAGGAAGATAAGCATAACAAAAGAGATAAGACCAAATTTATCAGTTTTGAAAAAACTGGAAATAGCTGGAAAACTATCGGATTGAGTCAAAAGACACACTCTGTGTGCTGATACTATGATATCCCTAATTTGGAAGTGAATGTAAATGTTAAAAATAAAAGAGTGAGTAGAGATTTCTCAAGCAAATACAAATTAAATCAAAGTAGAGGTGACAATGTTAATTTTGGACAATGGAGGTTTTAAGGTAGGAAGCATAAAATGGGATAAAAGAAATTTGTTTTATATTGATAAAAGTTATGATAATGAAAATATAGCAGCCATGAATCTTTACACGTCAAATAATACAACATTCAAGAACATTAAGGTAAAACTGGCAGGCAAATATGAAATGAAAAACAGACAGAAATAAAGTTGTTTTGATAGATTTCAATACCTCTTGGACAGATCATGAATAATTTGAAAACATGGAGAATTGGACTATTATCATTAAAACAATGGCGACATGGAGAATTGAATTAGTATAGTTAATAACAAGATATGTATTGAGCTGCCTACTCTAAAAGAGAGTTTATTTGTCTTTGAAGAATCCATGTATAATATATTTAAAAATTGATTCGATACTAACTCATGAGGGAAAGCTGAATAAATTATCAGAAGCAGAAATAATACAGATCAAATAATCCAATTACATATCCTGCAACTGCAAATATTTTAATCAACCTTAAAAGACTCCCCAATCACTTGAAAACATTTGTATCAGAGTATGTGTGTATATACATACTCACGCACATGCACACATACACACATACACACAAATACTCGCACACACACATATTCTAAAATATACATTAATGTCACTATATTTCATGATGTCTAGGATTTGCTTTAAAATACTACAGGAAAAAAAAGTTGGGGGCACAGGTGAAATGAGTAAGGCAAAATGTTGATAATTCTTGAAACTTGGTGAAAGGTACATAGGGGTTGATTAAACTATATATTGGATATGTGTGAAATCCCACATAATATAAATACTTTAAAAAGTACCACAAATCATAATTTATGGGTTGCTTAAAAAGCTGAAAACTGGAGGCAAATTCATAATCCTAAATGCTATCAACAGAAAAAATTAAGAAAATCAGAAAGAAGAAAATATTAAAGATAAAAAGTAGAAATGAGTAAAAATGTTTAAAAAGTGAAAAATCTACTAAAATTAATAAGTAATTATAAGAGCTAGTTTTTGTAAAAATTATTACAGTAAATATTCAACACGTTCAATCAAGAAAGAAGATACAAGTACCCCAAACTTAAGTAAGTAATGATAATAATGGGGAAAAGAATTTAACATTAAAAAAAAAGAAACTACAAAAGCATTAATGATTAATTAATAAAGAAAACATAATCTAGAGAAATATCTATATGATATTTAGCATTTTTCATGGTAGATTAGTACTGTCTAAGCATTAAAACAATGGAAGGAATTAAAAAGTAAAAAATTTGATGGATATATTTTATGGTAACATTTACACCTATACATGAAAATGAACAAAAACAAAATTAAAATTCAGATGACAAACATGAGGGCCTGAATTAGGATAGTGATAATAAGGATGCAGAGGAAAAAGATTCAAGAAACACATTAAAATAGATAAAAATGGGGGAAACAATTGATTATTATTTGAAGATGGGATGATAATGATGTCACACCTAAGAGAGAGAACATAGGGGTATAGAGGGTAGACGACAAGTTCAAATTCAGACTTGTTGATTTCAAGGTTCATCTAAACATCCAGTTGGTAGGCCACTGGATTTATAATTCTGAAGCTCAGGAAGAATTTTGGAGCCAGTGAGACAGTATGGGGAGTCATTAGCACACAGCTGATAGCTGTAAGCAGGAACGTCAGTAAAAGCATCCAGGAAGAGAGGGTAGAACAAGAAGAGAAGAGGGTGGAAGTTTTAAAACTGGAGAAAACGATTTTTTAATGTCAGAACTGTAGAAGTGAAGTCCATGAAGGGAACCAAGAACGAGAGCTGGAAGAAGAACAAGGAGAAAAGAGTATTGTAGAAGTCAAAGGAATTGATGAGCAAACGGCAATCAGGAAGCCGACTGGGAGGAGACTGACATCTGATGGTCACAAGTTTTGGGGCATCAATTAGTGTCAGATACAATACATCTGGAATTGCTGCCCAGCAGACATTTACTCCAGTCCCGGTCTAGGGCCAGAGATGAATGAGAGCCTTGTACTAGCCAATGGAATCAGAATCTTGAGACAACCAGAAGTCCTGTTGTTTTGGATTACCAAAAGTTTACTGTGGAGACGCAGTGACTTCATCCTGCCCTAGTACAACTTTCTGGGTTTGTTTCTTATTTTCTGATCTGGCTGAGAGTTGGCTAAACAAGGCATGAGGCTCATCTATGACAAAATAATATGATGGGCTGCAAGTTGCACAGGTGTCCAATGAAATCACAATGCCATCTACCGACAATGGTAGAACAGAGGGATCATCACTTACACCCAAGGGACTGTATTCTCTCCAGTCAGATCCCTATTTTCCTTGACCCAAGTAACTTTCAAAAGAGAGTAGTTCTCTGCATAAAGTTAGGGCCAGTCAAAAGACTACGAATTACAGTGAATATTTCAAGGTATTGTCCAGCAATGGGCAGGAGTTGACACAATAAAATAGGGTCTGCCTGGCAGTTAGAAATAAGGACCATGCCAAATAAATTAATTAATGAGTTTCAAGCTCACTGCTTAATGAGGTGGAGAGGCATTTCAACAAACTCCAAAAGCTGAAATTCAGGCATAAAATGAAGTTTGAAAAGCTTATAGTGTATAGTCATGCTCAATACAATGCATATGGTAGTGGTCACTTTAACAATCACCTTCCTATGACAACGACTACTCTTCTTGTGCCATCTATGTAGTATAATAATAATAATTAGAGCAATTAGCCATAATAGGCAAGATATATTGAGAATTGACGATGTCCCAGGTACTAGTCCAACTGGTAAGATAAGGAGCCAGAATTCAAACCAGTTATCTGGCTCCGGAGCCAACCTGTTCAGCCCCGAGGTCCTACTGCCTCCCACCCGCTTCTGCACTGGAGAGGATGAGGCTTTGACTTCAGAGAAACTGCTTCAATCTGGTCTTTGCCACATACAAACTGCAAGGCCCTGGGCAATTTCCAAATCCTCGGAGGCTTTGCATATTATCACTCACTGAAGATAACACCTACCAGCAAGTGGTAGTAAGAACTGGATGAGACTATCTAGGTAAAGCACTAAAGAGAGAGAGAGGAAATCGTCCACAAACGGTAACCAGGAGACGTTGAGGAGGAGGAGGAAGTGGAAGGGGAAGAAGAGGAGGAAGAGGAAGTGGAAGAGGAGGATAATCTTTTCATTGGGGTTATATTAGTTTTCTACTGCTGTTGGGACAAATTACCACAAACTTAGTGGTTTAAAGCAACAAAAAGTTATTACCTTACAATTCTGTATGTCTGAAGTCTAATGCAGGTCTCTCTGGGCTAAAATCAAGGTGCCCGGAGGGCTACATCCCTTTCCGGAGAGCTTCTAGGGGACAATCTGTTTTCAGGCCTTTCCAGCTTCTAAAGGCTGCCTATATCTCTTGATTTGAGGCCCCCTTCTGTTGGCAAAGCCGGCAGTGGTGAAGTGAGTTCTTCTCATATTGTTATCACTCCAATTTCCTCTTCTATTTCCCTCTTCCACTTTTAAGGATCCCTGTAATTCAATTGGGCCCACCCAGATAATCCAGAATAATCTCCCTATTTTCAGATCGACTGACTCACAACCTTAATTCCATCTTCTACCTTAATTCCCTTTTGCCATATAACCTAATACATTCACAGGTTCTGGGAATTGGAACATGAACATATTTGCGGGGGTGGCATTATTCTGCCTAACATAAGGACATTTTCCAGAAAAATATTCTTTAACTTCTTGAGGACTATACAGAGTCATACTGAGTTAACTGACCTCCTATTAACACCGTCTGTAAAGCGTATAAAGGATGGGGTAGTCTACCACCACATTAATGGGCAACCACTACTAGGCTTTATTTGTTTGTTGTTCAAATAAATCTGCGCATGGAAGATGACAGTCGTCCTACAGAGTGGTGCTGTTGAAAAAGTGAACTGTTGAAAAGGGGGTATGAATTTTTCCATTGCCTAGTTCTGGCCTATATGATAAGAAAGGGAAAGGACCCAAATAAAAACATTTTATGGGGCCAGCCAGGTGGCACAGCAGTTAAATTCACACGTTCCACTTTGGCAGCCCGGGTTCACTGGTACAGATCTTGGGTGCGGACTTACACACCACTCATCAAGCCAGGCTGTAGCAGGTGTCCTACATGTACAATAGAGGAAGATGGGCACAGATGTTAGCTCAGGGCCAATCTTCCTCAGGAAAAAGAGGAAGATTGGTGGCAAATGTTAGCTCAGGGCTAATCTTCAAAAGAAAGAAAGAAAAAAATTTATTCTGTGATACTTGCAAATCAAAGTACATCTGAGAATGGAAGATTATCTGTTCAATTAAAGGTCATCCACACACATATATTTCATTTTAAGTTACTTTCACAGAAACACATTTTTCTGTATAATCTTCCATAATGCTAGTTCATTCATATCACTTTCTTAATCAAAAGTCACCCATGGTTTTCCATTATATACAGAAAAGAGCTAAACATTCTTAGTTCATCCTTTAATGTCCCCAACAGTCTTGCCCTTATATAAGGCCACGACGCATTTCTAAGCAAATTTCTAATCACTATGTCCCAGAGAGAAATAGCCCTGGGCCACACCATTTCTGCCTAGAATGCCTCCCCTATCGCCACCTAATTATCTGAATTCTTCTTTATCCTCAAAACTCCATTTAAATATAATTCTACCTGAGATGCTTTTCCTGATAAATACACTCACCCAGTGCTCCCTTGCTCCTCTAAAATTTCAGTAACAAGAAATGCCAGTACCCTCCTTTGTCATTCATCATGGACAAATGTCTATGGACCCAATCTTGGTGAGTGCTCACTTTCAAAATATTTGAAATGATTGCCTGACTGATCTGTTCAATTTTGGAATTTGGAATATCCCACAATATTGTCTCTGCAAAGTTTTCTAAACCAACTCTGATGTTTGAGGTTTTTCCCAACACATACTCTGAAAGTGTATTTCTAAAAAGTATTATGCAATTTCATAGACCCAAATGAACATTTAAAATGGGATAAATTACAATAAAATAGTGTGGTACTTTCCTGCCACCAGATCGCAGGGATACTATTATCCTAATAAATAAAAATGGATATGATAAACTGTTTTCAATTATGCACTATTTGGAACTATATTAAGTATTCTAATAAGAGGAGAAAATGGCAATATAAAAATGCTTATGGAGAAATGCAACAGAATAAACATTTAATGAAAGGTTCAGAGGGGAGAAATGTATTCTATTCTTCTGAGAAACAAAGCTTCTTGATACGAGAGACCGATTCCACTGCAGAATGGGGAGGTAGAAGGAGTGCAGGAAAAAGAAAGTCAACCACTGAGGAGGCGGAGGATCCTGGACAAGTCAGACAACATCGCCAGCCTCAGTTTACACACTTATAGAACAGAGAACACTGGCCTACCGGGTTTCCAAGACTGACTCATCTACCGAAATTCTAGGACAATTTGACGTAAGGAACCACCATCTAGGTAAATGCCATAGTTCACAATTCATTTCGAATAATCTTTGTCTTTTTAACAAAACATCGTTCTAATATACATAAATGTTATTCAGAGTTAAAACATTATCTTTAAGCTCATTAAAATTAAATGATAATAAAAATTTACTTTCTACCTAAAGGAAGAAAATATAGCAATCGTTCTTAAAGATGTAAGACAATCTTAATTTTAAAATATATGTTATGAGTTTATTTTATCATATTAAACATCACTGAAATGCTCTGTTTTAATTTCTATGCAACAATTGTATACTGCTGAATAGACCCTTGCTTTCATAAAACAACACACTTCCACATAATTTTCCCCATGCGATCTTTCTATTTGTGAGATAGTTACTGAATTAAAACACTTGATTATGAGCATGAGCATTTTAGCTGCTTTTTCTATTTATTTAAATGGGTTTGTCAACCACATATT